AATATTTTCATTATGTTAACAATTCATTCTTTAAGACATTTTTATTCACGTGTGAATAAAGCAGTGATCTCATTGGTTACAATATTGATCACCATTAAAAGGATAGTTTTAGGAACCACTCTAGGACAAATCTTTGTTTGTATTAATGGCTAGTGCCAAGCCACATATTAAATTCCAATCTAAAGTGTTGATTTCACCATTGTGGCATAGTTATTACCAGACTTCGGTTTTAAATCCTTGATAAAGGAGGGAGTAATTGTTGCATGTTCGGACACCCAAGGTTCCACACACTGCTAAAGAGTTTAACATCGTTTTTTAAGTAGACCAGAATTATAATGAGCTATGAAATGCAGAGCGACACAGATCCTAGTAATGTTTTGACTCAAGATAATAGTTATTGTACAAAAGTTTCTGAAATAGATCATTAGACATTTTAATTAGTAGTGGTACTCGAAGGAAGTGAGTTTTGTACCAAGTTTCAGGAAAAGTGGGAGGCGGAAGTCCCAATGACAAGTGAGAATCATCTTGAAAATTATAGTTGAAATCGTGACATATTTTTGTAGACAAAGGATACTGGCCTATGCTGAAATGTCAAAGTCTCTGCAGAGCACGACACATGGCCAAAAAAGACGGAGACCAACTGACCTTTGACCCTGACCGACAGTGTAACTTGACAAGGCACTGTGGATGACTGACTCTGGGGTGAACCTGACCAAACTTGACATGACAACCAGACAGTGTGAGTGTGAATGAATGCCGGCATGTGATCAGTGTAACTGCATGATTCTAAAACAATAACTAACCAAGCATGTTTTTGGACTAACATATTATTTTGGAGCTCCAAGGGAAACGAGAGGTTTCCTAAAAATTCCACAAAAAGGGGAAACCGCACATGTGATATTTTACTCTCACATGAGTTGGCGGTTTGCAAATGTAAAACTACAATCTGAAGATTCTGTTTCTTTTAGGCCTGAAGGACGGAGAGGAACACTTATTTTCACTGAAGTGTTCACTGTGGAAATAATGATAATAATGTTCGTTATGTCCCTAACCAATTACCTGACAGTTTTTGTTCCCCTCCCATTACAGGCTTTTGTTACACATGATTTCATGTGTAAAAGGGGGGAGTGAGTATAATGTATAAATGTCAACATGGCTGTAAAATTCACAATTTACATTTTTCTTTTAAGGATTGACAGAAACCTTCCGCCCCAACCCAGATGTTCAAACTGAGCATTGAATGTAATTAACCTGCTCCATATCTGGGGATAAGATACTGTTTGATGAATGTTGAGATGTTTCTAAATATTGATTTGAATTATAGCAGGTAACAAAGAAGCAGTGGCCAAGGGGCTACTGTGAAACCGAAGAAGTTGACCTGTGATAGTTAAAACAATTTTGTAATATTTTAACAGACATTAGAGTAACTGAGGTTTGAAATGTAGAAAGAACATATTACAGTTAAGTTAAGCTAAAACATAGTAATGTAATGAGACAGAATTTAATTTAGACAACATCATGTAACTAGCCTGGTAAAGAAGTAAAAGCCATATACTTTATTGCTTAGGTCATTATGGGGATATACATTTCATCTAAATTTATAATAGAAAGACATTTGATGACAGTTTGTTGGAATTCTGTATTCATTTTTTCAGCGTGATAATATCTAAGCACTGACAGGTAGAAGCAGTATCACCAGGAAATCATTCACTTTGTTAGTATCGTGATTTTGGTTGTTTTTGAATCCATAACATTAGTGTGTTTCTTTACCAGAAACATTAGCAGTTCATATTAGATTTGGATTTTAAATAGGATTTCATTTAAAAATAAACACGGATGCTTGTCAGAAATTCAGAGCTATTGAAATATGTTATTTAGTTTACCTAAAGATGTTGAGGTTCTTATTTAGTTGGCACAGTCCAAGTATTAAGATTCTGAAGCTGCACTGGCAGATAGGAGGTCTACAATTAATTTGGAAAACCTGTTCACAGACGGCTGTTGTTTCAAAACACCCCACCAACAGGCTCCAAGTGGGTCAAAACAGCTGAGCGTAGGCTTGAGGGAGTTGTATCAGATTTCTCCACACAGGTCACTGGCGCCAAAAGGGGGACCCGAGAAGCACGAGGACAAAGTGGCTCAACCCCAGGCTCTCCGACCCCCGACCGAGTGACCCAGCGGACCTCTTATGCCGTCTGCCTGGGAGAAAAGGGGGACAGCTCGTACCACGGGAGCCAGTGTGCGGCGGGGAAACCACCTGCTAGGACCAGGGGACGACATCAGGACGGACGTGGCCCTGGCAGACGTGGACTACTCGGAAGCAGCAGACTGGAGGAGCAGGACCCTGGAGACATCCTTACAGCAGACGACCCGGGAGGCATCATCAGCGGGCCGGAGAAGGAGGACCCTGGAGACATCTCTACAGCATCGACCCGGAAGCCGCCATCAGCGGGCCGGAGGACGAGGAGGAGGAAGACATCTCTCTAGCAGGCAGCCCAGAAGCTGCCGTCAGCGGATTGGGGGACAAAGACACGGCAAGCCAGGACGGCACAGGGAACTTGTCGAGGCAGCAGAGGAGTCTACTTCGCTCTGATCAGTTCCACCCGTGAAGGGCAAGCTGCATCTCCCCCTCCCTATTAGCTGTCCTTGTGGGCTATTCCTCCGAGGGGGGGGGGGGGCTGATGATTCTAGCACTCAGCTACCCCCTCATGGTTCCTTCACTGCCATGGAAAGTGGTGTTCTGTCTCCATGAAGGTTTCAAGTACTCTAAATACCAGCTTCGGATGGATTTACAGACACAGTAGAAAATAATGACAGTGGGTATATTTCAAAATGCCTTGTCTAAGTTTATCTCTGGAGAAGGAGATAAAAAGGGGGATTTGTAGAGTTATATTTGTATTTATTCATGTTAGCAAACTATGGATAAGCTTAAAATGAGAATAATTTGGGTAAAACTGTGAGCTGCATTTGGGGCCTGTTGACATGTGTTTTTGAGGACAAAGGAAGATGGGGGAAGGTGAGAGCATGTCCTGATTTGCATTCAACTTAGATCTAGCTGCAGTGTTTGTGATGTTAAGAGAGGTCCCTTGGGTTTCTCTGGTGGTTATCAACAGTAGCAGTTAAGTGAATACTGTTCAAACAATACCTGTGTTTGTGTTTTATATTGATTTCTCTGTTTTATCCTTTCATAAATGTAAGGACTACAAATGGCTATAAACATTCTGGGCTGGTTGGAGTAAACAGGGTTTTATTGCTCTTTGGGGGAGGTGTAGGTATGCAGGCCTTGAGACCTTTTGTTGGAAAGTGAGCCTGTTTGGTTTCCTGCTGCGTTTCCTGCTGCGTTGCGTCTCCCAATGAGATGACCTGAAAAGATGACCAGCTGACCTAACACCAAACCCCTCCTTCTTACTCTGGTATATATCCGGTGGATCCCTGGCGTTCGGCCTCTTCTTCACATGCTGCCCTCGGGTGAAAGTAGCTCTGCAGTATGCGGACCAGGGCAGGAGTAAGCCGGCATTACTCCTTAAGCATTACAATATAACTGTAATATATCATGTTGTATTGTAATGATTGTATTGCATTGTCATATTGCCATTAAAGTAGATTAACTGTTACTTTGTAGATATGGATTCCTTCCTGTATTATAACCAGCTTCATAGGAACGCGCGGAGATTTGAAAAGCGGATCAGATATTCCTCCAAATCTCCAACAGTTGGTATCCCTCTTTTTAAGGGGGAGCTCTGAGGCTTCGCCCCCCGAATATCCCAAGGGCCCCTGGATGGGACCTGCCCTTGGTGCTGGATGCCCTATGCTCGCCTCCTGTTGAACCTTTGTTACAGGCAGAACTGGAGTGGCTCTCAGCTAAGACTGCTTTCCTTCTTGCCATCACCTCAGCAAAGCGTGTAAGCGAGCTTCGGGCCTTGTCCGTGAACAGCTCGTGTCTGAGGTGGAACTCAGATGGCTCAGGTGTCACCTTATGGCCGAACACAGCGTTCCTCCCTAAGGTGCAAGGACATATGTGCTGGGGCCACATGGGCATCCCAGAGCACATTCGCCAGATACTACAGGGTGAATGTTGCCGCCCCTCACCCGCTGGGTGTGGTCCTCCTGCAGAGTCAGCCTAGGCCATCCTTATAGCAGGGGGAGTATTCAGACTTCCTCGTGACTCTGTTGGTATAGGTCATCCAGTGCTAAAGCACCGCCTCTGGCGGTCAGTAAGGATGAAATAGAACAATAGTTACGTATGTAACTACGGTTCTATGAATATTGGAGTTTCTTGGTCACTCGGAATCTCGTGTTTCCGCGAGAAGATTCCATAGGACTGAACTCGTTGACAACACCGGAACTTATGCCATCCGGGGTCATACGAGGTCACACGTGACTTTGTTGATATACATATTCGACCTACGCATGCGCGAGACGGAAGATATCCAGTATTCATAGAACCTTAGTTACATACGTAACTATCGTTTTCTGTTGGTAGCAGTGGGATTCTTGAGTCTTTGACAAGGGAGTGAGCCTTAAAATGAAGGGAATTTTCAGTTTGAAACATTTGTCTGTCCTGCACTTTGGTCCAACCTGCTCTGCTCAAAATTGTGAAACTGTGAAGTCCACTGAGACAAATGTAACATTTGTGATATTGGGCTATATAAATAAACATTGATTGATTGACATACTATACAGAGATGTTGTATGAGAAACCAAAAAATTGGAAAATTGCACAATATAAATCTCTTTTAGTAGACCTCAACAATGGAATTATGATCAGTAGAAATGGCCATGACATGGGACCTTTAAAGTATTATCTTATCTGATTCTTTATCAATTCCTAGTATATATTTCATTAATGTACAACTTAAAACAGGAAAAAGAGAACATATTGTACTGTAGGCTCCAGACAAACTCTTTTATTAGTCCTTTCTTTTTGCTGCAAATACTAAAATCCTTTATTCCACATAGCAGCAGCTTCCTAAAAATGGCTACAGCTACACATTGACACCTACCTGCTGCCTGGACAGACCGTTAGCTTTAACAGAACTCTCGACACACTGGTCTTTGGTGTGATCGTCAGAGCTCAGTCTCTTAAGCAGACCTCTGGGTTTTGGATGCTGCCACCTCGCCTCCCAGGAGCCTTCCTGTCCGTCTGCGGATGTGCAAACAGATCAATTAATACCAGGAGGGATCGCAGCAGAGGCCAAACAGTGACGTGGTGATACAGATGATGAAAAGCACCTTGAAAGGTTGACACTGATTCTATGGAGAGCACGCGTCGGCCAACAGAAGACAGTTTCCGGCACACAGCTGCAGAGGAGGTATGAGACAGCCTTGCTTCAGCCAGACAGAGGATGTCCTGTGGGAGTATTAACTTGCACGTTTGTAATATTTAAAAAATAAAAACAACAGCATTATAACGCAAATGTTCCATATTTGGACGGATGTATGTTTTTTGTTGTTATTCTTATTTTTAAGTAATTGCAACTTAAATGTTCTCACTGTAACTGTGACAGAGTGTAGGACTGAGTGATTTGCACTGACACAGCATTCCCACTCGATACTGCTAAAGAGCGCTGACTCACTGAACACAGTGCCAATGAGATCACTTAATAGTCATGAGAGAAAAATGGAATTAAATCAAAGCTAAAGACATCATTGTGTTTAATGTGTATACTACAGCCTTTAATATGTGTACGCAAGAGCATTTCACACATATATACGTGAGCGTTTCACATATCTGTCACATAATTACCTACCAGGGCTGAGCACACCCTCTTGCTTATGGTGACCCGCTAAGGTGGATCATTTTTGCCCATGTTAGTTTTTTTTAAGGTATTTTGGAATTCCTTTGTGGTTGTTAAAATAAAGTGTATTGTTACTATTTAAAAAAAAAGATTGAACCAAAGCTGCAATAACCACTAATACTTACATTTCAATTGACTTCATTTTAAACCTTATTCTCTCATTTATCATCAACTTAAATTGCATCTTGACCTTGATCATGGTCACATTTGTTACGTAGCACATTCAAAACAATAACAGCTGACCAAATTAATTTAAAATAATTTACTTTTCATACAATAATTGCGGCTCAACAAAAGCTAAAGTCAAGGTTCGAAGCTAAATTCACATGGCAATAAAAAGGGAAAATCAGTGTCTAGGCAGCTTTAAATGAATAGATAAGCTAGTCCAAGGATTGTGGGCAGCCTTCACAAAGGATCCATCCCTTTTTTTTTTGCATATGGATTTCGGAACATCCACAAGCAGCTGGTTCGTCGACCTCTAATTGATGTATGAAGATGCAAGAGTTCTGCTAAGGTGGATCCAGCCCAGAGGTCACGTTAACCGAATATTTTCCGTCTATGACGGATTTTTTTTAACAATGACGGAAAAATCTGAACGCAGTCCGTCATTTTGACGGATTAGAACAAACTCGGAACAGCGCCAAAGTTTCCCCGCAGCGAGGCTCCGGTGTTAAGCATGTCTGCCAAAAAGGAAATGATACCATTTCCAAACCCAACTTTGCCCTACAAATCATTGAAATGTCTTTGAGTTTTGGCTTTACGCTGTGCGCACTCCCGCGAGGTGCAGTGGGCATGCATAACAAGGCGCTAACGGAGCGTCCACACAGCAGCGTGCGTTGACGCTTGGCGGTGGGCGTGTCTGAAGCTTGGGGAGCAACGCGACCAACAACCAATCACATGAATCTCCCGCCCCCGACATACAAAGTGTAATTCCGTCGAAGCACAGGCAGACACAAGTGGCTTTCTCATTATCAATCAATCAATCAATCAATGTTTATTTATATAGCCCAATATCACAAATGTTACATTTGTCTCAGTGGACTTTACAGTTTGTACAAAATATCAGTATGACAATACGACACCCTCTGTCCTTAGGCCCTCACATCGTACAAGGAAAAACTTCCGGAGAAAACCCACAGTTTAAAGGGAAAAATGGGAGAAACCTCAGGGAGAGCAACAGAGGAGGGATCCCTCTCCCAGGACGGACAGACGTGCAATAGATGCCGTGTGTAAATTGAAAAGATAATACATTTGCAACATAGGTAGTCCAAATGTTTGGAAATGCATGTGTGTATAATAGGAAGATTAATCCACGAGGATATCCATCCAGGACCTATGATCCAGGACCACAGCCACGACTCAAGATCCAGGGCTCGCGATCCAGGACAGAGGAGCGCAGGATCATCCATGACTCCGGATCCCGGCGTATATAGACACCAAAAAGAAAGACATTTGGGGAAGCTGGGTTAATCGGAACATGAGAGTACACAGGTATAGACAGAGAGAAGGAAGAAGTAAGATGTCCCCCGACAAACTAAGCCTATATCAGCAAAACTAGGGGCTGGATCTAATCAGCCCTAACTATAAGTTTTATCAAAAAAAAACAAAAAAAAACAAACAAAAAAAACAACTTATATGTATAAGAATACAAAACTAACGGAGCTGTAAGTATCCGTGCATCTTACTCTGAGGGTGCTTCTCATGTTCTCGCTCTCTAACGGAGCCTACACACGGCGGCGTGCGTTGCCGCTTGGTGGTGGGCGTGTCTTGAGCTTGGGGAGTTAACGCGAGCAACGCGACCAACAACCAATCACATGAATGTCCCGCCCCGGACATACAAAGCAAAGCATTCATGCTACATCCATGCTGGCTAAATATACTGTCTATGCTTGCTAGCTGTCCATTCAAACGAAGTACACTGGATATAAACTCCCCAAACAGGCGAAAACCTACCAGTTTCACCCACTGTCTCTGCCACCTCCCCCCATGCCTGGCTCCTCCGGTTTGTATCCTGTATGTAAGAGGGACTGGTCATATAGTACCGGGTGATTCCCTACCGCCACGATCATTTTCTCCTCCATTTTTTTACATATGGGAAATAACTGCGGTCTGGCTCTCCCAACATACACACGGTTTGATTGGCTAGCGCTTGTACTGTCAGATTTGCATACGCGGGATTTGATTGGCTGACGCCTCCGTCGAGGCGGCAAAAGTAGAACATTGCTCTACTTTTGCAGCGAGCACCGCGAGAGAAGCTACGCTTTGCTCCCACAATGCAGTTCGGCGAATCGTGACGTCACCCCATTCAAAGTGAATGGGCAGAAGCGTTGAAGCGGCAACGCACGCCACCGTCTGTAGGGGCCGTAACTCACGAGAGAACAGCATAACGAGACGTGAGCTTGGACTTCAAAATAAAAGACGAAATATTGCACGCATGAAACATTACAACATTAATAATTAGTACACTTAGAAAATACACATTACAGTTAAATTATGAACATGTAAAGGCTGCACTTACACAAAGCAATAGCAATGTTAAAACGAAGTAAACTGGATATAAAATCCCCAAACAGGCGAAAACCTACCAGTTTCACCCACTGTCTCTGCCACCTCCCTCCATGCTTCGCTCCTCCGGTTTGTATCCCGGTAGATGAACAGAGACTGATCATACAGCACCGGGTGATTCACTACCGCTATAATGAATTTTCCCTCCATTTTTTGGAATATGAGGAAATGACCTGCGTAGTCTCTCCCAGCATACACGCGGTTTGATTGGCTAGCGCTTGTACTGGCAGATTTGCATAAACGGGATTTCATTGGCTGACGCTTCTGCCGAGGAGCCAAAAGTTGAACATTGCTCAACTTTTGAAGCGAGCAACGCCAGCAACGCTCCACGTCGCTTCCCAAAATGCAGTTCGGCTAAAAGTGACGTCACCCCATTCAAAGTGCATTCATGGGCAGAAGCGTTGGAAGCTTCAACGCACGCCGCTGTGTGGACGGGCCGTAACAGTTCACAAGCGTGCGCCCCGCCCCCCGTTAATTTCTCTCGGATTCTTATGCTGTTTCTTGCTTTGGACAGTAAGGTTAGCCAGGCAGCTAGCGTTAGCCATGTTGCTAACGGAACATGAACAGGCAGATGGATCCACTTCCTTATATAAAAATCAACGGACAGACAATGTGCCAACGTCTCCGTTGCGCAGTTTGATTGGAAACAGAAGGTTGTTCAAATTCGAAAACAGAAAGCGTCCTGACAGCGACACCAACCACTATCCCAATTTGAAATGCTCGGGAGTTGAAGAGCTTCCCGTTTCTGCTTTAACTGAGAAAAGCTACCTCTGACAACTGAACTAAGCGTGTTTAAGACATGTTAAGGACCTGTAAAAAAACAAGATTCTTAACAAAAGGCTGTTTGTGAGAAGCCAACAGTACAACTAAACACTTGTAACGATTATATTTCATAAAATTAATTCCTCTTTTTCTTGTTACCATGACAACCAAATAGTTCAAGAGAGATCTCTGGTTATTCCACACACATTTCCACACCTTTCTATACAGCATTATGGCAGTTAAGAACAGTCAGCAGGGTTTGTTATACCTGCAGGAGAGGCCTGTCCTCCGGCTTCTCCTCCTGCATCTGCTCCAGCAGCCTCTGAATCTCTTCCCCCAGCTCCGCCTCCAGCTCTGGCTCGATGACAAAGTTCAGAGCGGCAGTGAGCGTGGAGCCCAGAGAGTAAACATGGCGCTGCAGCCGGGGATATAGAGGAGAAAACACAGTCAAGTACAGAGATCTGAATCCATGCAGAGGCTTGGAAAGCACAGGGTCCATTCTGGGTAGTAATTGTCATGACAGAGCTTTTGTTTTGCTTTGCAGCAAAGCCTTTGCTACACCCACAGGGGACATTATGGTCTGCTCTGAGGCAGCAGCGGATTTGAACCAGGTGCTTCTGAGTTCACATAACCATCACTCCCTACATTTGAAGTGGACTGCACCCATACGTATGTGGTAAACTCATTTGCAAGGCGGATCCCAGTGTGGGTCACCGAAATAGAAGAGTAAACACTCAGCTGAAGGCCTAAACCTCTGTTTTGCTTTCGCCATTACCACGCCAATCCGTTATACCTCCCTTGGGAAAAACACATTTCAGAAAAACATGGGAAGAAGAAGAGGGTTGTTGTTTTTTAGAAGTATTGGGGATTTGGACAGAAAGCTGAATTTTAACTGAAAGTTTTGTTTTGAAATCCGGCAACATAAGCTCACTTCAAATATATTTACATTTTGGATTTATTTATTTGTATGGTACATTTCTACAATCATAATCATTTCTACAATCATAATAATCTATAATCATGTCCCATTATTGTAAGCAGAAAGACTGCTTTCAAGACTAAAATAACAGCAGTATTTAAAAGATGAATGTAAAGGTTAAATGCACAGACTTTCACAGGCACATACACAATTATTACTGCATGATTTTTTATTTTTAAATATAGCACTTGAAGGAGTCCTGCATGTCTGCTTGTTAAATACATGAAGTTGATGTTATTGTACTTTTCGGGTTGTATCCATATGGTGTAATGTACTTATAGTTAGCAATTTGTAAATGAATATTATGCATTACTGATGGGCAAGGAACATTAGAAGTCACCTAACTATTACAACTATATTAATTACAGTATCAGAACAAAGAAAATGTTGCTAGAAGTAGAGTTCTTGCATGTAACCATACTGCCTTTCAGTTTCGTATTATCAGGTAGAGGTGACAGTGGTTAGTTTGTAGCTGAATAATGGCTGGCTATATGGAGGATTGCAGGTGAGGTTAGAGGACAAAGGACCTTAGCAAACCTCACCAAGGTGCCTGTGACTGTGTGATGTACTATCCCAGGGGTGGATGTGTGACACTGTGACCAGAATAAAGTCTAGAGGAAGACTTAGCATCTCTCACCTCAAACGTGCTTCCCGTGTGGTCAAACTCAGGAGGCACGAAGGAACCTTCGGGATCATCTGCAAGGTTGAAAACAGGCCAATTAACCGCACTGAAAAGTCATCAAAAGGAAGCAGGCACTGCGTTTGCCGTTTGATGTGAACACTACAATGTATAGCCATGTCAGCTCTGTGCTGAGATATGAGATACAAATCAGAGGAATATTCGAAAGAACAACGGTCTAGTGGGCAAGAGCAGCTGTTTTCCTTCATTGGCATAATTCGTGTGTCAATGATAATCCCTGACAGACTGGAGTAGTGAGGCATCCTCATCCTCCTCAAATAGGCCAAATTCTAAGACTGGCTCCGAGCAGGAGACACATGAAAACCAAAACATGCACCCCCTTAACTGGATTCAGAACAAGAAAGGTGGAGAGGCACGTTAAATGTGCTGATCGGGTTTTTTACTTCCTGGTACCGATTCCGATACCTGACCTTTTGTATCGGCCAATACCGAGACATATTGATTTGAGTTTGTGGGGCGCTGTGGCTCAGGGGTTAGATGGTGTTTCTCCAATTGCTAGGTACAATCCCCAGCCAATGCACTCAACATATCGTTATTTCATTTGAAAAGATACTTAGCCCCACAATAGCTGTGTATTACTAACCCTAACCCTTCCATCATCGATTCCTTCATGCAGTGATTGTTTTTCTGAACTGATGGTGGATGTATCTAACAAGTACCAGCAAGTACCATGTGTTCTAGGTAGCGTTAATGTGCTAATCATGGATAACTTGATATCAGATAAGGGCATAGACTTGCAGTTTGCAGATACCAGGTCTTTGCTGTGTATCAGATGCACTTCTCATACTGGTATAGGAACAGTTCTAGTGAAGCCCTAAGGAGCGAGAGGTTGTACTGAGAGTTATAGGAGGAGGGGGGTAAAGTGGGTCATGACAGATCTGGGTGTCTTTGGATTTATGATCTCCCCACCCAGGTGTACTGAGGCCAGCATATCTCTGTTTCTCCTCTCCTCCTTAGCCTTATTATCTCAACTTCTTTCTTCTTCTATCCTTCCCTTTTACCTTTCCTCTTCCCTGATCTTTTCACTTCTCTTATTTTCCTCTGGTCCTTCCATTCCCTTCTTTTTCTTGCTCTCTTGTCCTTTTGTCACATATTTTATTCCCCTTTCCTTCTCTTATTTAGCTCTCCTCTTAAGCTTCTAAGAATAAAATGATAATTTGTCAACTATTGAAACAATAGTTTCTGAAAGGTGTTATTAGTTAATCTTTTTAAATAAAAAAACAAAAAGTCAAAATTATATGATTCCAGCTTCTTAATGTCATTTCTACTGATCATAATTCCATTGTTGAGGTCTACTGGAATAGATTTATAGTGTGCAATTTTCCAAACTCCCATTGGTTTCTCATACAGCATCTCTGTATGGTATGTGTATTCACTCTCTGTCCTACACGGCTTGTTGGAGCTCCTGCCCCCCCCCCCCTCCCTGTGAGCCCAGTGGCCGTCTGCGAGACAGCAAGACACAGCGAAACCCAGCAAGACACAGCGAAACCCAGCAAGACACAGCTAAACCCAGCCCGAAACACACACACACCCGCAGCCTGGCTGGGAGTTTGTGTGTGTGCTCAGGCTGAGTTCCGCGGTGTCTCGCTGTCTCGCCGACCCCACACCAGCGAGCCAGCTCACACTGTCCGCTCCTCGCAGCAGCGAGCCTCGCAACGTCCTGCCGAGTGTGTGTGTGAGGAAGAATCATCAGTAGAAGAGATCATACTCTCTTCTTTTTCCCTTTCTTTTCCTCTCCCTGCCTTTCACTTGTCCTTTACCATCTTTCCTTAACATTTCATTTACCTCCTCAACATTTCAATTATTCTTCCAGAGTCTCTAACGTCCTTTCCTCCTTAGCTCTTTTTCCTTTACGTTCCCTTCCTTTCCTTCACCACATCTCCTTAAATTCCCATTTTCCTTATATGCTTTATTCTAGTGTCCACACCTTTCCTTCCTTTTCCCCATTCACCTCCTCTCAATTCCTTTCAAACCTTCCTACTTCCCTTTCTTTTATTCACATCTATTCTTCCCACCTCCAATGCTTTGTATCTCCTCTCAAAGATGCTGAAACATTTTCCACCATATGTAACGAGTACGACCTTCGCCACATTGAATAAGAGGGAAAAGAAGACAGCCGCTGTGAGTGACGCATTAGCCTTCGGGGTGATGGTGGGGTGAGAGCGTGTTGATGCATGCCTCCACAATTCAGCACAACAGGTAGTACGAGCTGAGCCATATTACAGATTCAACACACTGCAAATATGCCGATCAAAAAGTCCAGTTTTTATCAGAAATTGATCAGCTTGGGATTGTCTTGGTCATCATTAAAGCCCCTGTCACACTGTCCCGAAATTGACACCCGATGGACACACGATAAAGGAAATGTTCAAATTCGGCTGTGATCGTAGCAACATCGGGCCATTCGTGAGGGCATCTTAAGCCATCGTATGACCGCCGGTGGAGTTTCTCAGGCTCCGGCAGCAACTTCGTGAGCGGCAACTTCGTAAGGCACTCGTGAGGGCATCTTGTCAAATCGTGTCATCTTCGTGTTATCATCGGTGCATTCACCCTCACTCTGATCAGGGCGAATGCCCGATGGCACCGATGATAACAAGATGCCCTCACGATGGCCTTACGAAGGGCAAAATTGACACACGAAAATGAACCTTCGCAAGGTCCTTCGGCAATTTGTTGGCATGCCAAAGATTTTGCCACCGCTCACGAAGTTGCTGCCGGAGCCTGAGAAACTCCACTGACGGTCATACGATGGCTTAAGATGCCCTCACCAATGGCCCGATGTTGCTACGATCAGAGCCGAATTTGAACATTTCCTTTATCGTGTGTCCATCGGGTTGTTTTATCGCACAACAAAATCATGTAAATATATTATGTAAATAACCCAATTTGTGTTCTGTGAAACTAAAAAGGATATAATATATTATTTTGAAGGACAGTTAACAGGAAGTTGTTGTTGTTATGGAAACAACATTACGGAGAAAACGTAATATTTTCTACATATAACGACGGATAAAGTAAAGAACAAAGTCTGAAGATATCAGTACAGTATCATAGTACTGTAACATAATTGTTTTTGGTACTTTCATTGCAGTTGTATGTCTTAAATGTAATGTAAATGTTGCCTTCGTGTGTGGTTCGGGGCCATCTTCGTGCGAAATTCACAATTCAATATTCATCTGTCCATTGGGTGTCAATTTCGGGACAGTGTGACAGGGGCTTAAGTGAAAACCATCAGAAGACATAATGTTGCACTAATTGGTCGATGGTGATGTGTTCACTGCCCCTCAGTAAACTACCATTCTGCTACTACTGCAATAATGAATCATCTGAAATGAACCCTATTGATTAAGCAACAGGCTATTCTCACTGAGATAAATCACCACAGCTCTCAATGTCACTGTATTATGTGAGCATGGGAGAGTAGTACGTGAGACTGAAATGTCATCGAAATCGCACAAAGAGCTCAATTAAATGGAACGGAAACTGTGAGAGCAAAGTGTTGTGATTAATTATTTAGGTGCTGTTTGTTCACCATGAACATGAGAAGGGTAAATGTGGGCACTGCGGCTTGTGTTTCTATCCACAGGATGAATCACAGCCGTAGGACTGAACCTGATCCGATAAAGCAGCGTGACAAGAGATGAAGCCACGAAGGACTTTAGCTGACAGAGTAATCAAAGCATCTCTTTAAAGGGTCTCTGGTGGGAGATTTGTGCCTGGATAAGAAAACGGTTAAAACACTGCCATTCTGGTCATGTAATGTAGTAATTTGATCATGTGTGTTTGAGTCTAGGTTGACTGATCATAGACTTACCAAGCAGTTACCACAACAACGACCCCCCTAGCAACTCGTACGCCACTGGCAATCAATGCTTATAATGATAGAGAGGGTATGAGAAAAGGAAAGAAATGGCAAAAGGAATGAAACAATTCGGAAAACAGAAGAGGTGACGGATAATTGCTAGGTTGGATGCTTTTCATTAGTTGGAAAAAGCCTCAAGGAAGATGTCGTCCGTGCAAATCAGAACCGACCTGGGGAAAGCCTGATTGATCCAATGAGACACTGATGTGTTTTCGAGCAAGGACTTGCACATTGAGACTGATACAGTTCAGAGCAAGAAAGATAACAATGCCTTTGTCTTCCAGACAAAACTGCAGTTACAGACAACCAAACATTTAATCTTGATCTGTGACAAAACATATGAATAACTTTAGTACTTTGAGATCATGGACCTTCGCTAAACCCAAATTCTCTGTCTGGAAAATATCAAAAAAGTTACAAATCCTTATGTATCCGCCCTGGGATTCTGATCCATTCCAAAATTAGATTCATTGGCCCATGCTTCATAAAAAACATGGCCAGTGTAGTTTCTTCTGTGGTCCTGCTGACAAAAATGTGCACAAACAAACTGCAATGAAAAAGTAATGTCCTTGGCGAAGATACAAATAAAACTGTTAAGTGTCATAGATAAAAGTATCAGGCAGAAAGTGCAAACTAAGGGGTTTACAAAGTCCTGAAAGGGGTTTCGTTCCTGCAGATGAATGGCAGGGTGTCAGAGCTGTGTACTCACCGCTCAGCTGCTCCATGAAGCAAACATTCCCATGAGCGTTGAAGGCCAGAGTGTCCGGGGTGATGCACAGTGTGTGGAAGAGGTGGGAGGGTTGGATACTCTGCAGCGCCAGGACACACTCCGCACACACTCCCCACACCTCATCCTCACACAGACAGCTGTCCTGCAGAGATAGGATGTCCGCTAGAGACACATTCTCCTGTGGACACACACACACACACACGTACAAGAAGGTCCAGGTTAGCATACACACATACATGGTTTGCAGTACAGTCAGGTGAAGTGAAATGACGAGATGTAATAATCTGAATAAATCATATTGGTAGAGAAAATATAAGCTATGTTTAGCATAAAAAACAAAAACAATATAAGTAGGCTACAACTAGTTTGTGTTTAGAAAATACAAGATAATGTAAATTCCATTGAATTAAGACGGTTTTGAGAGATTAGCTTTAATGCAGGAGGAAATCATACAGTCTTCATAGTCAAACACCTTCCCCATCCCTGTACCTCGAGAAAATAATTTCTCTGTATTTCCTCTTGAACTGGTTAATGTCTGGACATTGCTTTAGCTCCACGTTCACACTGTTCCAAAGTCTCACTCCACAGGCTGAGATACAAAAAGTTATTCTGGTTGTACGGACCCTATGAATTTCAAATTGAAATTGTCTCCTTGAACTATATCCCCCCACTCGTTGAGTGAATACCTTTTGGATGTTTCCTGGTAAAACGTTATGATTTGCCTTAAACATGATTTGTGCCGTTTGGAATTCTACCAGGTCTGTGAATTTTAACAATTTTGACTGAAGGAATAATTTGTTAGTGTGATCAAGGTATTTGGCATTGTGAATGATTCGTATGGCTTTTTTTTGTAGAATAGATACTGCATGTATAGAACATTTGTAGTTATTGCCTCAGATTTCAGCACAGTAATTCAGATATGGTAAGACTAGTGAACAGTAGAGAATGTGAAGTGATTTCTGATCTAGAACTTGTTTTACTTTGTTTAGTATGGAAATGCTTCTTGACAGCTTTGATTGTACATGTTTTATGTGTAATTTCCAACTTATTGCATCATCTATTATTACCCCAAGAAATGTAATTTCATGGACTCTTTGAATTTCAACCCCATCTATTTTTATTTGCATTTGTGTTTTTGTTCTATGTTTACCGAACAGCATTCATTTTGTTTTACTCAAGTTTAATGATTGTTTATTTTTGTCAAACCATGTTTTTAATTTGTGTATTTCATTTTCTATGTTCTCCACTAGCTGTTCTAAATTCTCCCCAGAACAGAATATATTTGTATCATCAGCAAACAAAACTAGCCTCAGTACATTGGATACTCTACAGATGTCATTGATGTACAGTATAAACCATTTAGGACCCAACACTGACCCCTGGGGGACACCACAAGCAATGTCCAAACATGAAGAACAGTCATTTCCCATCTTTACATACTGCTGTCTATTGGTTAAATAGCTTTTAATCCAGTCTAAAACTATACCCCTGATACTATACCTTTCTAATTTATATACTAGTCTGTAGGGACTTGGTCTTGGAACCGAAAGGTCACCGATTCAAGTCCCTATCAGACCAAGAATATGGAATGAGCTGGTAGCTGGAGAGGTGCCAGTTCACCTCCTTAAATCAGGCTTTAGTTACATCTGGAGTAAATTCACAAGCTACCCTGCAGTATACAAAGTCATTCAAACTAGCTGCTCCTTTACCAGCTTTGAGAACACTTTAATGATCAATCATTATAAAACATATCATATATATTATTCTGAAATGGACCAATCTGCACAATGACTACTTTTACTTTAAGTATATTTTGATGCTAATACTTTTGTACTTTTACTTGGGTCAAATTTTGAATGTAGGACTTTTACTTGTTTGTTTTTTTTGCACCAGATTAGCCTTTATTGGAGATGACAGTGTTGAAAAGGGGAGATAGAAGGGATGACATGGTCAGGCTGGATTCGTACCTGGGTCCTCCGCATGGGAACTGAGTCCCTATTCATGGACCAGCTCTACCAGTTGAGCTATATGGCGGCCTAGGTCTTTTACTTGTACTTGGTATTTAGTAAACAGTGAACATTTTTACGGTGGTTGTTTGACTTATTCAGTTTCTCTGGAACAGTGGAAAGACATTTTTTCTGAGTTTTTTTTTTCTCGTCAAATTTGTGTTTTATGTTGAAATGTTATGATGACTGTTTCTGGCAATGGAATGTGGTTGCTTTAAGGAAGAATATTAATTCCTGGAAATGAGTGCCTATTTTAACATTTCTTACACAAAAAAGGCCAGATGTTATTAGTGGGTTTTTTTATCCTGTGGAAAAAAGGCTTTAAAACTACTTTGCTTTTAATAACTGCTTTTAGTGTTGTATGGAATCTCTGCAGAGCATATCATACATGTTAATGCAGAGCAATAGAGGAGAGAAGCAAAGCGCTCACGTTTCCCTTCACACCAGCACCTAAACGCACCACCAAACAAGAGGTTTCCAAACAGTCCCTGCTCTTAACTTCAGGCAGACAACTCGTGTGGAACGGCTTCATTAAAATGTAAATACAGAGTGTGCAAAGTGACAGTTTGGCGTGACATTGGCGAGAGATACAATTCTCCCTAAAGCCTGGAGTTACACTCCTACAGTTGGATTCTGGGATACATAACACTCTGATAATGCAATGTTATCAGCAGCAGCAGCAGCAGCAGCAGTGTAGCAACTTATTTAAAGTGCCTTCTTGCAAAGAGATAAAAGTAACCAAAATTGCAATTGCTTTACTAATCCATCAAGTTGAAGGTGCCCTATGAAGATTTTTTGGAAATAAACTGCATGATAATTTGGTGTCACCAAAAAAGCATTGCGTGTAGCCCCAATTTCCATAATCATAAAACAGCTCTAATCAGAATTGTGTTTTTATGATGTTTATGTCTCCTCTGGGAAGGGTTCGTCAATATAGAGTTGTTTTCACATTTCTCTATTCCCTAAAATCGGAGATTCCAACGTACCCTGGGAAAGAAAGATAAGGTATGTCACAAATTGAAATGGACCCATTAAAACAGCCGAACAGCCACTATTTAAACCTTTATTTAGTCAGGAAGGAACAAGGTATTTTCTTCCAAGGATTAATGAATTAGCTAATCTTGTCTTGTTTAGGGCTGCACGATTAATCGATTTTAAATTGAAATTGCGATTTTAAATGATGCAATTAGCAAAGCCTGCTATTTGGGATACACGTTATACAGCGCGTGGGATTCAATGTTTTTCTTGTGTGTCACACAGTCATCCACACCAATCAGAAGTGCTGTGCTCCACATGTACCAGCCATTGTTAACCAATCAGATGTGGCCCAAGGTAACAACGCATACGCCCAACAACAACATTGCACGGGAAACGCCCATGTGTGAGGACGATTCTAGCAATATTCATGCTGTGGGTAAATGGCTTCAGCCGAGCCAGAAGCAATGTTGGACAATTTAGTCCCGAAGAAAAGCAACACTTCGGTTGTATGGAAATATTTCAGGTTTAGGACGACAGATGTGCAACAAAAGCAGGTGTTGTGCATGACCTGTCGTGGAAAAGTCACTACATCCCAAGGCAACAGCACAAACCTGTATGAGCACTTGAAAAAGCACCACAGGCAGCTCTATGACGAGTATAGGGAAGAAAGCTTTTAGATGTGCAGCTTCACTAACTTGGAACAGTCTGCAAAAAAAATGGAAAATTACCAATGTGGTAGGCCTACCACTACGTTTTAAAGCTCGGTTGGATGCTACACAATCAGATGCTGTTGCTACCTGTACATGTGGATAGATATGTAAATTGTAATCCCTGCACATTTTGCTGTATGATGTCCTTTTGTTGTTCTGTTTTTTATGTTTTTATGTCTTCATGTGGAACCTACTGCTGCAGGTCTCCCTTGAAAAAGAGATCATTGATCTCAATGGGATTTCACCTGGATAAATAAAGGTTTTGAATTGAATTGAATTGAATACGGTCAGAAACTAAGTGTTAAAGGTGGGGTAGGTAATTTTGGAGAAACCAGCTCGATTGCGCTAGAATTTGAAAATACACAACCGGAAAAAATCTGCCACTTCCTTCCAGAGCCCCTCCTCCAACACACACGAACGCGCACATGACCAATGAGGGCACGAGATAAGTTTGTGCACAGATGGAAGGCTGACAGGCAGGTAGGCCATCCAGTTATTTTAGCCGGGCCGGCTAAACTGATTGGTCGTGCTTTTTACAGCGCCACGGGTTCCACAGATGACATTTTTTTATGGATTTTTTGTCAAAGCACTTAAGATATTCATTGCTATCGGGATGTTAAGAGCATTCCATGGAATATAACAAAAAGTGTAGCTCGAGCCGGTTTCTCAAACTTACCTACCCCACCTTTAAATGAAAGTCCCGTAGCCGAATCTAACGTTAAGCAAACTAGTGTTTTAGAGTCGTTTGCGGCTGTTACGCCGTATGAAAAGGGCTCACGAAGGCACCGTGAGATAACCAATAACGCATAACCTCGCTAAATAGTTGGGGTCATCTCCAGCAATTCCGTGACCGTGGAGAGCGGAGGTTCGTTTCTCAGTGGATTTGTCATCTATGAAGGGTTTTAAAAAAAAATGAGCCCCCATGCCCCTCGCAAAAATGCGGGCAACATTTTTTAGAGCCCTAAATCCAAAATGGCTGCCATCACCGTAGGTTGAAAATGAGCTTTTCAATTATTTGGCCTACAATGTTGTTCAATACATGGTTTCTGGTACTTTTTGGGTCAAGGAATTCATATTTGATGTTGTTTTAATGATTTGACCTATTGTTGACCTTCAAATCTAAGATGGCCGCCAATTTTCCCCAAATGTTGATTTTTCAACGTTGTCGTAGAGCCTTCTTATTAGGCTCTAATGAAAGCTATGCTCATGCTGAGTTTAGTTATAAACAGTAAAACAACAAGTAAGTACACAGAGGTAATCTCAGAGGTCAAAAAGGTCAACATTTGTGGCTGATGAGAAATAAACCGTAGCTCTCTATGCTCACAAATGTGACCTGCTCCATCGAAATCAGTTGCATTGACTCAAAAGACACATTTTGAGTTGTATACACTGTTTGAAAGAGGAGATTCCTAGCTTTCCAATGATATCAGGATTGTTGTTGTACTCCAAATATTAAGCGAAATATGTCAAATTATATAATGACT